AAGTATGAGTCAAAGTGGACTCAATCAAGATTTCTGCAAGACTTTTGCAGAATAGAACACATTCTCAGAAGTAATATATAATCATTGTTTCCTGTGATCATCTGACTCCTGACTATCAAAGGACAAAATGTGTCAATGTGACTATCTAAGGACTAGCTGATTGTTTTTTTTTTTATACTGTTAATATTTTTTTATTTTTTATTGTGAAAATAACCTGTACAGACAGAGGGGTTACAATTACATGGGCAAGATAATGAGTACATTTCTTATCAAGCATTGTTACCTCCTCCTTTGTTTCCCCTTCACATTCATTCCCAGCCTCAACCCCCTCCCCCCCCCCCCCCACCAAAGTTGTAAAGTTCGTTTTTGGCATGACAACTAGTACTTCTCATTGTATCCTTATTTAAACGACTTGTTTTTCCCCTTCCCCTCCACAAATTATACCAACATCAAATACAGTGAAAGCAGGGGTTATACTGTGGGGGAGGGCCATACAAAGCAACAAAGAAATAATCTTATAAATGCGTTAGAAACAAATAGCTGATTGTTTTGAGTAAGCAGTTACAGTGCCACAGTGTGTGTGTGTGTGTGTGTGTGTGTGTAAGCAGTTACAGTGCCACAGTGTGTGTGTGTGTGTGTGTGTGTGTGTGTGTGTGTGTGTGTGTGTACTGGGCTTGAACTCAGAGCTGCCAAGTTTGTCCTTAGCATTTTCTACTCCTCTGGTGCTCTACCACTAGAGCCAAAGAAAGCTCCAAGCTCACCTTCAAGCTTTTTGGTAGTTAATTGAAGGTAAGATTCTCATGAACTTTACTGCCTGACTGGTTTGGAATCTTGATGTTCAGATCCCAGCTTCCTGAGTAGAAAAGATTACAGGCATGAGCCACTGGCCCAGAGAAATCTTTTTATATGGAATGTCATCCAAGATGCTCAAGAGCTCAACAGGAGAGAGAAAAGAAGCACATGATCTTTAAGAGCCAACAATCTGGTTTATTAAAATGCAATTCCCAAATTCCAAAAACTAAATACTGAAAACATTAGATGTAAGATTGAAAAGCCAAAGCAAACAAAATTCTTGTCTATTAACACAGATCCCCAATGCAGTGTTTAACCTTAGGAATTTGTTTAAGTAAATAAATAAATGGGTTCTTGCTTGGCTTCATTGGCAAGTTCTGTAATTAGAGGGGGACATAGTTTGTTTTTAATTTCTCTTAAAAATGTCCAAAATGTCTCATTAAGACACAAATGACACATACAGGACCTTTTGTTTTAATAATCCATGATTAATAAAATCTAATGAATCCATGTCATTTTTGACAGCAGTGCAAATTTAAATGTGAAAATAATGATGTACGTCTCTAGGAATTTATGATTGTGGATGGAAGCTGTGCTATTGCTTATAAGGAATTAACAAGAAATATCAACTCTCTTTTCTCTCATGGTAAGGGTGTGTCTCCAGCAGTTTTCTTCATGCCCAAACCATTTGATCTTGAAACCTTTTCAGTATTGTGTTTTTGGTATCACTTATAGTGCTAGAAATCTACACTACTGAATTATTTTTACTCAAGAGGCTTAGAATCAGAGTTTGAAATCTAAAGGAAAAAAAGGTGTTGGAATTAAAAACAGACAAGTCTTTTGGCTAAAGAGGTATCTGTAGGGCAATTTCCATTCAAGCCAGACATTGTGCATGTTGTTGATTTTCTTTCCCCTCATACTGTATGTTTATTGACATCCACAAACACTAAACATAATAGCAGAATAAATACTTCACATAAAATTAATGATCTTTCTAAACACTAATTAAGACAAGTCTTCATATTATTCAGTTTGAATGTGAACATCATTTAAAATGTGTGAAGAGCTCACAACAACAACAACAACAAAATGCCCAAGCATCATTCCATGCTAATGATTTTCTCCAATATAAAATAAAACATGATCTTCTTACCCACGAAGGATACAAAACCATTCAATCTCTCACTGACCCAATGAAAAAGATCTAGTTTTGGGAAGGAACAAAAATATGAATTTGAATCTATTCCTAATGATAGTCTACTGTGATGATCCTTGAGAGCAGCTCTGTAAGCAAAATTGGAATTCGAAGTATATCTGAATTTCAACTGCACATTTGCTTGGTTATTTACTGATTCTCAACAACCCTCTTTGAAAAAGATGATTTAATAGAGGCTCTGAAAAACTTCTTTGGCAGCATTATAATTAGCCATGATGATGAGGATGATGATGATGACCATGGTGATGATTACATGGGAGAGAAACCTAGTGACAACAAATATTCAATTTCACCAAATGAATCAGCAGTGGATCCTGAGCCTCTGAGACCTATTCGGAAAAATCCGTTTAATCATAACTAACAAGTGCAATCATCACAATCTGTCCCGAGCCTTAGTACACCAAAGTGCCTGGTCCCTCACTCCCCAAATCAGTTACCACTTCACACGCATCAACAGATTCTACAGTGATGAAGCAAAGATAAAATCCTGTCTTACCATAGCTACTAAGTTTAGTGGCTACTGTTGCCTTTTTCTTCTAAGTCATTTGCTTCTTTAAATACTTACCATATCTGTTTGGGGATGATCTAAAAACAGCTGTTTTTCTAAGAATTGTCTATATAGTTCTCTAGTGTATGAGGACTATGCATTAACAAGTTACTAGAAGGGTAAGAGATAGAGGGGTAAGATTGGCATATACATCATGAACGTGTGGAAATGTAACATGAAATTTCCTCCTCTATATAACTAATGCAAGCTAGTAATTAAAAAAAAAAAATGTTACCTAGGCTTTTCAGTAGTACCACACAGTAGGACTAAACTTTTGACTATGAAGAGAATACCCTTGAGCCATTTCTTCTCACAAAGGAGCTGTGTACTTTACAGAAATCAAATTCAAAACGCTAAGCAGATCAAGAAAACACAATAGAAGAAAACAGAATGCAATTGCATTTTATTAACTCTAGTTTTTTTTAAAAAAAACAACCTTAAGTATCCTGACAGATTCTCCAATACTCCAACTGTCACAAAGGCATTACCTAGTAAAATATGCTGCAATACGCTCCTTTGATTGAAGACCATACAATATAGTGAACTCTATAACAAAAAGAAAATGAAGTGGACAAATGGATTCTTACTACTTTTCTAGAAAAGGCTGCAATTTTGTCATAGGTACACAAAGGCAGGTGTGACTCACAGCTTTCCCGAGTCGTACTACATTACTTCCACCCAGAGGTATTATAAGTACATTCAACATACACATGGTTTTAATTCCGAGAATAAACTATGATTTCATGACACTACATTTATTTGAAATCTAAACCTACAACAACACATATTAAGAGCAATCACTTGACATACTGTCAAGAGAAGAAAAGATTCGCACACCGCTTTCCCTGGACTCCTGATTTAAAAGGAAAAAAAAAATGTACCAATGTTCCCATACACAAATGAGAGGATAGGGAACGGCAATGAAGTGCACCATATGTTCCTATTGTAGGCTGAGTTCGGGTCTTTGTTTCGATCTACTAGAGCCACTGTAAGCAAAGCTAAGTGCTCATCTGTTCAAACATTATTTTCAAGTGATTGCTAGCAAAAGTTACACTTCTGACAGGTTCAGCCAGCACTTATCCGATCCCGACTATGGGCGCTTTTGCATTTGCTTCTTTCATCCAGGTCTCTCGCAATTCGAGAAACCTGCAACACAATCGCCCTGGATATCATCATCACCAGGTCGGGAGCAGGACAATCGGATAAACCAAGGCAAAGCACAGACATCGCAGAACGCAAAAGTTGTTTTTCCTAGTGAAACAGTTCCGAAGTAACCCCCTATCAAAGACATGTTTTGCTTGTTACCAACTACGTACCTCCCCAGATTCCTCCCACCTCGTTCTCGAACGGCCAGGTTCCTCTCAATCTTGAGATCTCCCAGCACCGTTCTCCCGAGGCTACTCAAACCCCAAACCCCAACCACGCCCTTCAGACTCAGGGTCAAGCGATCTCTCTCTCCCTGTCTCCCCCCACCCCTCCCGCGCCCACCTCTTCAGGGTCCAAACCCGTGCATCTTTGATCTGAATGGGTGTGCACGGGTGTCCAAACCCCGAGCAAGCAGACTCTTTCCCCAAGGCTTTTGATATTTCCCCGGGCGGGGTAAGACCGGGAAGACACACCGCGCTTACCCCACGCACCTGCCGCCCCGGCGGGATACTGAGGCTGAGCTAGGGCTCAGCGCCGCGCTCGGATCGGGTGGCTGCTTGGGTCTCTCCCGGGAAACTACCATCCAGGCGGCGCCTCGGGCTCGGGCCAGGGATCAGGCCCCGCCCCACACCTCCAGTTGGCGAATTGGGGAGCCCTGGCCCCGCCCCTGCCGTGGCCCCGCCCCCTGCCGCCGCAGCCGTCCGGGCTAGTGAGCCTGCTGGACCACCTTCCCGTCCCGCTCTCACGCAACCGCAACCGCTGGGGCTTTGCCCCAGAGCCCTTGCACCTGGAGCCCCGCGCGGGCGCCTGTGCAAGGAGTTCAGTCTCCGCCCGGAAATGGAGCTAGTCTGCTCTGGTGGTTCAAGCGGGTCCCCGCACCTCGCCCTACCGCTACCCGGCGATTGCCCGGAGGCTTCCTCGCCGCCGGCGCAGCGCGACCAGCCCAGCCACCCCTCGCTCCCCACCGCTGCCCCCTCCCCCCCCTTCCGTCTTCCTTCCTCTGTTCCGCGGTTCCGCCCCCTGCTAGAGTGAGGTGTCTGCGGGTCCGTCCTGCGCCCTGATTGGTGCAGGTGAGAGCCGGCCCCGCCCTTCCTCTCTCTTCGACGCACCCTCTCTTCTTTATCACACCTCCTCCCGCAAAGACCGGGAACTCTTTTCCTATTGGTAAGAGATATCCCCACCCATCACCTTCGGTTCCCTCGCAATGCCTGTCGGGAAGTGTAGTCTTCCGCGTGCAGGAAGTGTAGACAACGCTGGCTAATGGAACTACGAGTCCCCATAAGCCCTTGCGCACTCCGGCAGGGCAGGATTCCGGACAACGCCTGGTTCCTCTCGGGTCCTTCCGGCGTCGCCGGAGTGAATCGATCTGGGAGTTGAGGGGGGCTCCAGAGGTGGGAAGTGAAGTCGGGGTCTCAGTTGCCGGTAAGCTGTGCTTTGGGGGTTACTATCCGCAAGGAGCATCGGAGGTGTGGGGGTCACTCAGGGGCCGAGGCCGCAGCCCGGGGGCCCGGTCGGTGGTGGCCGGCGGGGCGGCCGCGAATGCGGCCGGGAGCGGGGCCCGGTGGGCGGACCGAGGTCGCCCTACGCGAGCTGCGTCGGGCGGGTGCGGGCCGGGCCGGGCCGCCTCCCGGAAGACCCCCGGGGGCCGCAGGAGAGGAGGGCGAGGCCGGCCTGGGTGTCCTGGAGCTCGGGGTGGGGCGGATGTGCCCGGGGTGGGGTCCTCCGCCCCGAAGGTGTGGCTGGGGGCGGCCAGGAGGAAGGAAGGGGTGCTGGCGGGTGTGCTCCCGGGGTGCCCGGGTTCTGCCCTGCTGAGGGAAGAGGGGAGCCGGAGGAAGGAGGAGCCCGATGTTGACAGATCTGCGGATTCAATTCCGGGTTTCTGGGAAGGAGGAGATTTCCCCCCTCTGCCCAGAGGCTGGTCCCTCGGCCGTGACACCCCCGGAGGAGTGGCTAACGGGGCACTGAGGGCTGCCCACCGAGAACCCGGGCAGTTAGTGGCGGGTCCAAGGTCACACACCCCGGGTAAGAGCTTCTCCCGTCTGGGTGAACTCCAGGCTCCAGAGCCACAGGGGAGTGGGCTTTTTGTTGTTGTTGTCGTTTTGTTTTAATCTGAGGTGTGGAGGAAGTTGCCAAGTAAATGGTATTTTGTGTATTTCCAAGCAGAGGAAAAGTTGTGTTTCTGAAGTGAGCTGAAAAAAATCCCTCACTCAAGGATCCTTTATCATCTATTTGAAAAACAAAAACAAGGGATCAGCTTCAGTTTAGATTTTTTTTTCTCATTTTAGTTGAGGAATATGAAGTGACAAATGCTACCCTCACAGATTGTTAAGCCTAGATAAGGGCTAGCGTTATGCCACCTTTTAATATTTCTTTCCTTTCCTGAAGTTCTTTCATTTTGTATGACTGAGAACAGTGAGACTGGTACTTTCACAAAACTTACTTTAAACTTTTCTTCCCCCCCCCAAATAATGCAACTTCCAGGAGAACACATCGTTTTTTTAATACTATAAAAATGAGCACAAACCAAGGTTAATTTCTTGGAACATGGTTTTGCTGGAGATTTTTCCTTCTCCCTTGTTTGCTTTACTTGAGCATACGGATGTGTATGTGTACAATAATAAAGTTGGACTCTTGCATATTTTATCTTTCTTAGTGACATCTTTGAATTTTAACTCATTCTTACACTAACATGATTCTTACATTTGATTTTGCACAGGAAGTAGTGTGCTTTTTTAGAATTAGCCTCCAGTTATGGACCAATTATCCAATTGTTGGATTTTTTAAAAAATAAGATTGTAGGAGTGTTCATTAAAGTTAGGATTTCCTCATGATAAGTTTCTTTCCATAAAGGTATTGTTAGCAAGTAATTATGGTTTATTGTTAGAGACATTCATCATCAAAATGTGCTGTATTTTCAAGGCACTACAAAATTAAAATTTTTTAAATAGAAAACATTTCCTAGGATCAAAAATATTTTGCTTTTCTGGCTGAAGTTAACTTATTTTTAACATAAATAAACAAGTAGAAATTAAGGAATGATACGGTATTACAGAGTGAAGTAAAATCATAAATTTTAAAACGATAAATTATTAAAAAAGTATACAGATAAGAAAGAGCCATCTAGGGGCCTGGGAATATGGCTCAGAGGTAGAGTGCTTGCCTACCATGCATGAAGCCCTGGGTTTGATTTCTCGGTATCACATAAACAGAAAAAACCAGAAGTGGTGCTGTGTCTCAAGTGGTAGAGTGCTAGCCTTGAGCAAAAGAAGCTTAGGGACAGTGCCCAGGCCCTGAGTTCAAGCACCAGGACTGGCCACATAAATTAACTAAATACCTAACTAACTAACTAACTAAGTCAGCCAGCTAAACAAATGGAAATATTGTGTGTAGATAAGTAAAGGGTGTCATAGTTTGGGTAGGCCATAAACTGGATAAAATTCATTGTAAAGTGAATGCTTTTGTTGGGGAAATGAAATGATTTCTTCTAATTGGCATGCAGTTCTATGGCTATGGAAAGACCTTTTAACTGCAAGGAAAATTTGGAAATAAGTAAAATTCTTAGAGTACCTTTTCTGTGTATATTAGTTTTAGTCTTTGGTTCATTTCTCCTAAGTTCTCTTCATCTGTGAGGTTCATGGTACCTCACCTATGCTAGGATGGGAAAGAAGTGTTCCTGTTGTATTTACTGTTTTCTAACTCCAGAGTTGTATTTTTGTTGTTTACAGACCACTAGCATCTGCATTTGTTCTCATAAGGAGTCTTATGTTAGCTTTGGATATCATCTCATATAGAACTCAGAATGTCTTACATATACTTTTGTCTCTTTCTCTTAAGGTAGCAAAATTTGTAAGAACAAGGACTATATATGATTATCATTGTTGTGTATATTATTATCATTGTTATATCAGTGGTAGAGTAATAGAATCCCAGTTTATAGGGAATGGAAGATTAGTTGAGTGACTTGCCCTGGATCCTATGATATGTAATTGTTGGGAACAAGTTACAGTCCAGATTCTTCTGACTATAGATCTTTTAATATTGTGAAGTAAAAGCTTAGTTCCCAACCAGGCACTAGTGGCTCTCACCTGTAATTCTAGCTATTCAGGATGCTGAGACCTTGGAGGATTGGGGTTTGAAGTCAGCCTAAGCAGAAATGTTTGTGAGACTCCATCTCCAGTTGGCTATCAAAATGTCAGACTGGAGGTGTGGCTCAACTAAGTAGAGTTTTGGGAACAATCAAGCCAAGTGAGAGCATGAGGTTCAGCCCTGAGTTTTCAAGCCCTGGTGTTGGTACAGAATTTGTTTTTCTGTTCCCATAGATTATTTTATGCAAGAAAAAGACTGTGATGTATATTCAGTTATTACCTTCTTACTGTATCTAATGCTGACAATGTATCTTCTGTCTCCTATGTAGTCCTTCATCCTTTGGCATTTATCATGACTTTCAGCTTCTTCTTGATTTGGGGAACTTTTTATCTTGGGGACCGTTGCTCTACCTGGACTGTTTTCTCCTCCCTTTCCCCAAATCTGGCCAACTTCTGTACAGTTGCAAAGTGTCAGTTAAGATGTAAGATGTTTCACCTCAGGAATGCTGACCTGCCAGCACACACCGCAGTGAGTTCCCGTCCAATCTTTCCCCTACTCTTTTCCTTCCCACTTTCACAGGAGGAAGTCATTCGATAAATATTTGTCTTCATCACTAAGACAAAGGCACCTAAGCAAGGTCTTATTTGCCCTGGGTCTTACCATACCATTGACGCTGAAGAATACAGTAAGTATTTGCTGAATGAATGAATAATAGAGGCACCCTTCAGCACTCTGCTCCCAACAGAAACACAGAAATAAATAAAGCTGATGCTCTTCCACTTTATAGCCAATTGAAGGATGAAAGATTTCACAAATGAACCAAAGTTTAGGTTAGGTTAGATGAAAAGGTGTTGTTGCCAAGAGCAAATTGTACAAAATTGTACAAAAGAGCCGATTCTTTCTAGAGATCTCTAAAATCTGAATAGGTAGTTTCCTTTGTGGGAATGTGTAGTTTTTATTTACAGCTGAATTTCTGTAGACCTTGCTGATTACCTCCTTTGAGCAGGCATTATTCTTTATAGCCAGATAGAAACATGAAAGAAAATTTCAGTGGATTCTGTTCTTCCTCTGTGTTACCTTGTTTTTATTTTTTCTCAAAACATTCACTGCATTTAGGTAGTATTAACATTTACTTTTAGCTGAAGACACCAAGGACGTAAGAAAATGTAGTTAGTAAACTGATCAGGCACCATGACTGGCAAAAACAAAAACAAAGAAATGCAGTTAAATTGTTAGAATCAATTTGAGAGAGGATACTAGAGCCACAATTTGGATCTGTCTTGAACTTCCCTTCTTTTTCTTGTTTTAATGGTGCTTTGTGACATTTACCTTTAGGATCACTTGCTTCAGTTGCTGTGACTGGAAAATTGAGATGTTCTTGTTTCAGGTGTACTTACCTTTTGTCTCTTGAAAATGATTACAGTTTTGCATTGGGTCCTAAAGCAAACAAAATACTCTTTTTTTGGAGGGGGGGGAGTCCGGTCGTGGGGCCTGAACTCTGGGCCTGGGCGCTGTCCCTCAGCTCTTCAGCTCAAGGATAGCTCTCTACCACTTGAGCCACAGCACCACTTCTGGCTTTTTTCTTTTTGCTTATGTGGTGCTGAGGAATCGAACCCAGGGCCTCTGGCATGCCAGGCAAGCGCTTTACCACTGAGCCACCTTCCCAGCCCCACAAAATACTCTTAACAAGAGTAAAAGCATCATTTTGAACACATGCAATCAAAATTTCAGGGATTTATTAGGTTAGATTTCTGACTTAAAGCAATTTCTGTAATTTTTTCCAGTACAACATTAATGGAATAAAATATATTCAGCAGCTGTAAGTTGCTGTAGTGTTACATGCTTTCATAGATTTACTGGTTCACTCCCACACAGGCTAATTGTCAAAAGGTGATTGCTAATATTTGGCTATAAAATATTAGTGTTTGATAAATTCTAAACTTAGTATTAGGCAGTCCTAATGTTACCTGAACTTTTAGCAGAAATGTCCTGTTTATGTAATTTGCGTGGATGAACTGAGGTACTGTTTCTTTTGTTATCATAGAATTTTACTAAGAATTGTTACTAAGAATTTTAAGCCACTTGTAGGATTTTTTTTCTCTAATATAAGCTTAATATGACTTAGTGTAAAAGATAGAGAGGGGTAAGAAGGAGGTAGAAGAGGAGAATTTTATTAGCAAGCTTTATTGGCTCACAACAGTGAGATCGTGCTGAGTCAGTCAGGCTGGCCTCTTGGAAATTAAGTTCACAAGCAAGGCTAGATTGCATAGCAGTAATCCTTGGGCTCATTCATCTATCATATATTAATTGAGTATGTAGTATGTGTGAAATTGTTT